TTTTAGCCCACGAAAGCTTAAGCCCAAATAAATTTGTTAGTCTCTAAGGTGCCACAAGGACTCCTCGTTGTTTTTGCCAATACAAGTAAGGGAAGAAATAAAGCAGCTGCTGGGCCCTGCTGCACGGCCTCAACTCTGTGTTAACAAAGTTGTGTTAATGAGCTTCCTGTTCTGCTGTGCGGTGGAGCTGGCCTGCTGTGCCTTGATGCTCCTATTCTGTAGCCTGGAGGAGATACTAGATGAACAGGTCAAGACTTGATGCCAAGTCACATGAGTTCTTGCACCCAGGGTTTCCCATAAACTTGGGCTCATGGAAGTTGCCCACACCCTCAGAATGGCCTCTTGACATTCATCACAGAGTACTCACTCACCCTGGGTGGTGCCTCTGCCTGGCTGCTCTGAGGAATAGCTCTTGTCCAGGTCCAATGGCTCCCCTTGCAGTCTCTCCCCGGCATTCTCCTCTCTCTCACTCTGGGATCCCTCTCTCACTCCAGGAGCCGCAACTGCCTCTTGTTGACTTGGCTGGGTCACTATGTGGTTTCCCTTTTGGGATGTAGTGTCTCACTGGACCCACTGTCCAGGCAATATCACTTTGTCAATGGCTGGTAGGGGAACCTAGGCTCACCCAATATTCTGGGTCCCCAACCTTGCTACAGTCTCCCTGGGCTACTTCCTACTCCATCATCCCCCAGCCAGGCTTTCTTCTCCCATCATCTCTCTTCAAGGTCTGCCCTTCACTCAAGGCCAGGCTCCTACTTTTTCTCTAGGTTCCTTCCTTCCTTCTCTAATGCACAGAGGGTAGCTGCAGACTTCCTCACTAGGGCCATTTCTAATGCCAGTTTCCTAGCTTTATACTGGGCCAGCCCACACCTCTTCAGCTGAGCTCCATCTTCCAATCAGAGATTGCTTCTCCAACTAAATCCCTCATGTGCGGTCTATCTCACTAATTAGCCCTGTCTCAAGTTCCTTAACCCTTCTGGGGCTGATATGGGGTGAACATCAGTTCTGGTGAACTGGCTCTCCAGATTGCTCACATGCCTTGAGGTTCATATCTCACCCCTCTGGCCCCCCAATCACTTTACTTCACCCCACCCTGTCTCCCTCATCCCTCCACCTGCTTTTGCTGCATCCAACTCATGAGCATGGTCTCCCTCCCACCAACCTCATTCAGCCTGTCTTTTCTCCACAGTAAATCACATTACGCATACCATGCTCTTTAGCAAGAATGTGGTCAGGATCACTAATATTCACTCTCCTGCCAGCAGCCATTTGGCAAAGGAGGACTGTAGATTTTCCAGGCACTTATAGCTTGAAACTGTCTTTCTTCCTTATACTGGAATTCCATCTTCACACCTTAGCTCACATTCTCTAACTCACTGCAATTCTACTAGAGACAACAGTGTGACCCTACACCCCATAATCTTCATAGAGATATGCTTATGATATGAATATGGCATAACTAAGATATGTTTTATGCAAGATGGGTCACGTGAGGTATTAGTGGAAAGGTCATGATTTACTAAATATAATTATCCTATTTGTATGCATGTATCATTTCTGTATCAGAAGTTAGGAATATTGACTGTGTAACTATTACAACTGTGTTTACACTTGGGGAATGCCCACCAGACACTTCCATATTGGTGCATACAACAAAATTCATTCCGCACATGCGTGGGAAAAATTAGAGGGAATGCTGGGCGTAGCAGCATCTTCTGAGTGAAGGAAACTAAACATCAACAATTGTAATCCAGTTGTATGGGGGCAGGCAAACATTGATATGCAATCTGCAGCCAACTATTCACTTGCCTTCTTTAGATGTCATAGAATTATAGACCTGGAAGAGACCTTGAAAGGTCATCAAGTCGAGACCTCTGCAATGAGGCACAACCAAGTAAATGAGGCAGACCATCCTTGACAGGTGTATGTCCACCCTGTTCTTAAAAACCTCCAAAGACAGGGATTCCACAAGCTCTCTTGGAAGCCTAATTCCCAAGCTTAACTACCCTTACAATTAGAAAGATTTTCCTAACAGCTAGCCTAAATTTCATTGCTGCAGAATTATCAAACACATCGATGAACATGTTTTGTTGAGAAAGAGTCAACATGGCTTTTGTAAAGGGAAATCATGCCTCACCAATCTATTAGAATTCTTTGAGGAGGTCAACAAACATGTGGACAAGGGTGATATAGTGTACATGGGCTTTCAGAAAGCCTTTATAAGCTCTCTCATCAAAGTCTCTTGAGCAAAGTAAACAGTCAGGGGATAAGAGGGAAGGCCCTCTCCTGGATCAGTAACTGGTTAAAAGACAAGAAACAAAAGGTAGGAATAAATGGTCAGTTTTCAGAATGGAGAGAGGTAAATAGCAGTGTCCCCCAGGGATCTGTACTGGAACTAGTGCTGTTCAACATATTCATAAATGATATGGAAAAAGAGATAAACAGTGAGATGACAAACTTTGCAGATGATACAAAGTTACTCAAGATAGTTAAGTTCAAAGCAGACTTCAAAGAATTACAAAGGGATCTCACAAAACTAGGTCTCTGGGCAACAAAATGGACAAGGAGAACAACTGATTACCATCATGTTTATAACAGTCCTTAACCTATTTGAAGATTGTTATCAGGTTCCCCTCAGTCGTCTTTTCCAAGACTAAAAATGCCCAGTTTTTTAACTTTTCCTCATAAGTCAAGTTTTCTAAACCTTTTATCATTTTTTGTTTCTCTCCTCTGGACTCTAGAATTTGGTCAAATCTTTCCTAAAGTGTGGCACCCAGAATTTGACACAATACCAGTTGAGGCCTCATTGGTGCTGAATAGAGTGGAACAATTACCTCCCAGGTCTTATATACAACGTTCCTATTAGTACAACCTAGAGTGATATTAGCCTTTTTCGCAAGTGCATCACACTGTTGACTCATACTCAATTTGCGATCCGCAATATCCACCCCAGATTCTTTTCAGCAGTACTACTGACCAGCCAGTTATTCCACGTTTTGAAGTTGTGCATTTGATTTTTGTTCTTCCTAAGTGTAGTACTTTGCATTTGTCTTTATTAATTTCATCTTGTTGATTTCAGACCAATTCTCTAATTTGTCACAGTGCTTTGGAATTCAAATCCTGTTGTTACCCGGGGTTCTTTCAACCCAAAACTCTTGGTAACTTTTACTCTGTGAGAGGTGGTGTCAGGAAATAAATCACGGGAGACATGGCCGTCCAACCGATAGATGGCTGGCACAAACAGGACAACACAAGAGTGCTTTCACTTAAAGCTAAACTTTACTTAGTCTCAAGCACTTACACACATCCGCAACAAGTTAGTAAAACACCCCCAACCCTTGATAATTACCAAAGCTGAGTGTGGCTCTCGAGTGACACAGCGGCAGGCTTCCGGTGGCCAAATCTTCCATCTGCCGGTGGGGACCGCAAGATGTATCCAGAGGGAGAGTCCAAAAAGAGTCCAAAAGAGTCCCCAAATGAGTCCAACTATCTCAAACTTTTCCCCCTTATTTATACATTAGTAATAGAATGACATGTCCCTTAAAGAAAACTTGTTAAGTAAGCAGTTTCAATGGTCAAGCAAGAGTTTCCTTCTGATTATTTATTAACCAGGTGTGGGTTTTTCCAGAGTTTGCAGTCTTGAGACCCCAATTCCTGGGGCACATCCTGCTCTTTTAAAATGCATGTATCAGCAACTTCAACACAATTCTTATCAGGAAGGACATGGGGTCAAGCTGCCCTTTCTGTGGCACCCCAAACCCTCTCCTAGTGATTTCCGGCATTTTACTGGTTTGCCAAAATCTCCCTGGACACTATCCTCAAAAGTTCTAGTAACCTCTCCCACGAATTGGTGTCTTCCACAAATTGTATACGCCTACTCTCCCCTCCATATCAAAGTCACTAATGAAAATATTGATTAGTAATGGCCCCAGAACTGACCCCTGAGGAACCTCACTAGATATGTCCTCCCAGTTGGGCAGAAAACCATTGATAACTACTTTTTGAGTATGACCTTTCAACCAGTTGTGCACTCATTTTACAGTAATTTCAACTAAACCACATTTCCCAAGTTTGCTTAAGAGAATTTCATGTGGGATTGTGCAAAAGCCTTACTAAAATCAAGATATAGAATGTCTACAGATTTCCCCGCTCCACTAGGCCAGTAACCCTGTCAAAGGAGGAAATTAGGTTGGTTGGTATGATTTATTCTTGACAAATTCATGCTGGCTATTCCTTATAACTTTACTAGAACTATCATTGTCCAGGTGGTTACAAATTGATTATTTAATAATTTGTTCCA